TATATATATATATATATATATTAGAAATGCAGTGGATTTCTACTTGTAAAGCTCTTTTTAAATGACGAGTTGTTGTTTTTCAGACATGCTTCAGTATAAATTAAGGTTTATTTACAGTGTTGTAGCACAAAACTTACATTAAAACACATGATTGATTCTAAAGTGCCCAGATTTAGATTTACTAAGTTTTATGAACCATTCATAATACCAGTCAAGTTTAATGTGAAACAGCTTATTTTTTGCTTTAAATGGCAAAATATAGATTTTCAAGTACACATTGCAACTAGGTAAAAATCGGAGACCTAAAACACACGTCACATTGAATAAAAACCACATATATCTCGGTAGATTCAAAACGCTGAAGTTCTGATCTCATCAATTGCCATGTGTTCGTTGACCTGTGCATTTGTTTCTTCAAAGGTGGATTAAAACATGACAATTAACTTCATATAAAGTGTTCAGCAAACATGCAAAATGGTATTGTCCACTTCATCATAATCAACACTCAAATATTCTCTCTAATTCTTCTTGTAGTTGCTATGGTTATTCTTTGATACCTTGCAGAAGCTTCAGAAGATGGCCCTCCAAGACCTGTTGGACTGGGAGGCAACAATATAAGGAATTACAATTACAGTTAAGCCCAACACAAAACCGGTATAATAGTCTCAAGTTTAATTGCTTCAACTTAATAAAATAGTCATGTCACAGGTTGTAATCATGTTATAGCTACCATTTCGGTGTCCCATCGCCACAGCCATGTCCATAGCATTGAACCCAGAGTCAGACTCCATGGTTGGGTCAGCTCCACTCTCTGTCCAGTGATCAGAAGTAATTTTAACAAAAATACCTAAACTCTGCATTGCAATGAAATAAGTTAAAAGTAAGCCTTTTACCTAAGAGGATTTCCACACAGCGAACATAATTGCCATGCACTGCATAGAGTAACGGTGCTCCACCATTCTGGAAAAACATAAGCGCTGCCTTAGGTGCAAATCAGTTTTTTGCTTAAACATTGATTCTGGTTACTACACCCCAGAATGCAAGATTAAAGTCATAGTGAGAAGTATATTCACACCATATAACAATACTAGGAAACTCAACAAACCTGTCATATCCATTTGTATTGCTATAAAACTACCAGCATATTTTCATAAAGGTCACTAACACAGTTATCATTCACAGGTCATAGCTTTAGACGTATTCAGGAATCGAATCAATAATGTGACTGCTTACCCAATCGTACTCATTGACATCAACTCCACAGTCGATAAGCATTCTGACAATATCTGTGTACCCTTTACTGCAGGCCAGTGACAGTGCACTCTCCCTTCCCTTGGCCAAGAGATGAGGATCTGCACTCTGAAAGGAAAGAGCTGTGAGTATCTGGAGATCCAGCTATAGAATTGTACTTTTGCTTTGTGTGTCAGGTGGTTCTTCAAAGCCTTTAAAGCTAAATTCTCAAAAGAATGAAAGAGAGGTGGCAGAATAAAGAATCTAGAACAGTAAGCTCATGGAATGAAGATGAATGCTAACTGATAGCTTTGTGCAGGTATATTTGGACTACAGTTAAGAAATGATGTAGTGAGTGTGTATGATGCGCTCACACTCTGTAACAGGAACTCCACCACTGCGATCTGTCCATGAGCTGCCGCCCACATCAGTGGGGTGAATCCCTCCTCATCCTGCAGGTTTATTACAGACTCTAATTCAAAGTGAAACAGGAAGGAAAAGTCAAGTCCTCATTCAGCACAATTTTAGACATGGATATATAGTTAAAAATGACACTACTGTTTAAAAGTCTGGGGTCAGTCAAGTGTTTTTTTTTTTTTTTTTAAATGAATGAATACTAACACAGTTGTGATGCGCAACTGTTTTCAACGTTGCTAATAAAGAAAAAATTTCTCGAGCACCTAATCAGCATATTAGAAAGATTTCTAAAGAATCACATGACATCGAAGTGGCTAATGAAAATTCAGCTATCAGTACTTTTAAAATAGAAAACATTTTAAATGGTATCACTGTGTGGTATGGTGCCTGGCATGCATCCTGCCGCAAGACACTTCAACGCATAGTGAGAGCAGCTGAGAAGATCGTTGGTGCCTCTCTCCCCTCCCTCCAGGACATTTACAACACCCGTCTCACCCGCAAAGCCCTCTGCATTGCAGGTGATCCCACCCACCCAACACACAGCTTCTGCGGAGTCTCCAGGCCAGGACCAGCAGACTGAAAGACAGCTTCATCCATCAGGCTGTCAGGAAGCTGAACTCCCTACCGACCTTGCCCGCCCTCCCCTCTTTTGCCCCACGCACCACTGAACTCTGACCCTCTGACGGACTCTCCCACTCCCCCCTCCCAAATACACACACACACTGTCACTTTAATCAGTCTAAATAAGCTCTTTTGCACTACTAATCATTATATCTGCACTGTTGTTACTTCACTGGTTTGCACTCTATCTGCCATGTGCCGTGTGCTGCTTTATATATATTTTTTAATATTTTTTTTTACATTTTACCTTATTTGTATATTTGTATAGTTGTATTTTATATTTAATCTGTATCTATCTGTATTTATGTTCTACTGTTAGTGTTATCTGTATGCACCAAGGGTCTGAGAGTAACGCAATTTCAATTCTCTGTGTGTATGTGCTGTACATGTGGAAGAATTGACAATAAAGCAGACTTGACTTGACTTGACTAAATCATAATATTTCATAGCATTACTGTTTTATTGTACGTTTGATCAAATAACTGCAGCATTGGTGAGCATAAGAAACTTTAAAAACATTTACAAGCCCAAATTTGAGCAGTAGTGTATGTAAGACCAAATTGCTTCACATCACATTAATTTTACAAACAAACTAGCCTTGTTCTATTCGACTGGCTAAGAACACCATCTCTCCTTGTGCCGCCAACTGATGTATAGACAGTGCTAGAAAAGAAAAAATAAACAATGGTTATAGTTTTAAAGATTAGGTTGACAAATATCTTGCCAAATGAGAATGAGAAATAAGAAGACTTACAGTGAACGAGCAGCGGTGTGGATGAGACCTCATTTCCACGGTGTTTGTTGGTGAGCGTGGTGGACTGCTTTATCGGAGAGAAGTGTTTGGTGGTTGATGGCGTGTAAACATGCCTAACCTGAATACCAGGTGAGGGAGAAGTTTGAATATTACACTCCGCTGTAGAGAGAGACAAAACAGAGACGGGATATTTTAAAGAATTTCCTAACAATTATATTCACTCAAAATTTGGCTGTTTTGCTCAATTCATTTGCTTTACCTTTAAATAACACAGAGGCCACCTCCAGATCAGAGTTCACCTGGTCCTGGATATTTTTACTCTCTTCCTCGTTCAGTGACTTCACAAAGCGCGAACACACGTTCATGTCAAAGCGGTTGGGTAATATAAACTTTATGCCCATGGCGTTCTGCGAGTTGGCATCCTCTGCTGAGCCAATGCTGACTGACGGCTCCACCTTGATGCTGGTCACCTCTGGTAATGGGCACAAACCCTCCATCTCCTCTGATGCCATTGGCCGCTCAGGATCTGGGATATCCCAAAAGAAGCTACTACAGCCTTTTCCTTAAATAGAATCAAACCCTTACAGTAAGTGGATGATGTTTAGGTCCCATGCAGAATGAAGCTTTTGTACATGGTATATTTAGAGAGAATTTTACATTAGCTGAAATATGTGAACAATATGATTAATTTGATTTAAAACAATATAGCTCATATGAACAACTGTAACTCGTATGGTTACTTTGTTAAATAATTTGAAAGGCTGACATTTTGTTGACTTTTGTGCCTCAGTTTGGTTCTATAACCTCGCAACCATCACTAACAGCAATACTACAAACTCATAGATGAATACTCCATGACGACTCCATGAATACTGTTATAGTATTATAACAAATTTTGTGCTGGAAATTAAACCATGCACGTTTGGAAAAGCCCTTTAATCCTGCACAATGCATAATCTCACATGCCCGACAAATGAATGCGTTTAATGTCAGCGTGACCAAAACAAGGTTAGCCAACCAGCTAACGACGGTTATAGGTTGCACTATATTAACAATAAATAGTAAGTGAAACCATACTGTACACATAACGTTACTTCTTAATTCCAGCATATGCATTTCCTGAGTTAAAACACAGACAGAATACGAGAGCGCATCGGGTTAGCCTAACGTTAGTGCATTTTGGAGCATAGCTTGATTTCTAAAGCAGAATTAACGGCTGAGGCCATTGCCTTATTTTTAAAAAATTGTTAAACCTGCATTATTGAAAATTTTACCACAAATGTAAACCGTCGTCTATTTTAAATAGTGCAATCATACATACCTACCGAGTTATTAATATCGTTTGTTTTGAAACGACGGGTTGTTCTTGAGGTTGAGTGTAAATAAAGTTTTTTCGAATGCAGAGAGGGTGGAGTCAAATGTGTTCATCTATCTACACTTGGATGTGTAAATGCATGCTGTGCATTGTAACAAAGTCCCTTAGTCTTTGATTGTTGTAATTACATGGTAAGATGTGATTGTCACTGCTATTAACATGGCTAGAATTTTTTTCCACACAATAAATATGTTCATATTTCAAATAAATTTTTTATTTTACACTTTATTTTGGTCATAATAGTAAATTTAAGCTTCTGATCTCTATTATTTTCATAATGAAAGGCTGGGTTTTGGACAAGGGTAAAACAGCACTCTATAATAATATAATCTAAAGATAAAGGGCAATTAATGAAGCTGAAAAAATAAAGAATGTGAGGGAATTAAAAGTTTTCAATGTGACCTTCATATAAAAAACGTTCAAGAAACACCCCGCTACACCTTGTTACTGTAACAAAACGGTCCTTCCTCCAAAACTTAGCTTTAGTTCAGGATAATTTGACCATTTTTACCATTTATCTCAATGGCAAAAAGTTCACTTTAATGGTTTGAAACTGCAATGACAAAACAGGTTCTACATGCCTTGCGTTTATACAACTATTTACATTTGCAGGATTTTTTGATAGATTTTTTCCCCCATTTGTTTTAATTTTATTTAATTTTATTTTTTATTACATGAGTCTGAAGCAATTTTGCATGACATCTGGATTTTTTTTGAGTATGTGTGAGCATGAGTTCTTGTCATTTATTACAAAATATTTGTGTAATTTTGGAATTAGTGGTCACTGGATATGTAATCCTCTATCAAAGCCATTCTCAGAACCGAGTGGAGCAATGCCTAAATATTTATGTAAAATCTGGTCCAAACAACCGAAAAGGAAATAAAGTAGACTAGAGTCTGGCCCACTGCAAACCACTGCAAAAACATCCAGATAATAATAACATTTCCATTCTCCACTTGGGTAGAACTGCAATGTTCAGTGCAGTTTGATCAGACAGCTGCATTTCTCACTGTAGTATGTACGGGATGCTTGATGAAGACAACATGAAATTTATGAATGGAAAACATTTATTTTTTGTGATGCATGATTTTTTTTCATAAAAAAAGAAAGCAGTTCAACTTCAAAGTTTTATCTTCACTATCCAGAAAGCCTGTGCTTTTGAAGGTTACGGCATTTTTCATACATCATAGCCACTATGTGATTTTCTATTCCGCTATCGGCTCTGCGATCATGCATTTATATTGCTAGTTTTTCCTTCTGGTTGCACAATGCTTGCTAATCAGATTATATGGGATAGGCTACTTAATATTTCTACACAACCTGTCAAAGTTCTGCTTTAGCAGCCTCTAAGCTCCATTCACTTTTGTGTTCTCACGAACTCTCTAGTGCACTGTTTGTACAGACCCCTGTGTAAATGAAGGAGTTTATGCCAGTGATTGAAACAGACACGATTACCAACCAGCCTTCAACCCCAATCTTTAAATGCACACCGCAAATGGAAATGCTTTTGAGGTCAATTAATCACTGTGTTCGTTGTCAAAGTACTTTATAAATAGTAAATTAAATAACCAAAAAATTTATAAATTGCCTTTCTATTGTCTGTCTTTTATCATCCTCGATGTAAAGTTCACTGTTTCTGTGTAGGAGAATTGTAGACAGAAAACTTTAGGTCACATTTGAGAGAGCAGCGACCCCTTTGGTAATAGCATGGTCACAACCAGATCCTAATGTTCTTAAAAATTACTGCAAAACTGTTGAAGTGTTAGTTGTTGTCAGGCCTTTTGTTTTGTACATTGTAATGGACTACTTTTTTCTAAGTGCATGCTTTAAGAAAATTAAATATTTAAGATGAATATGTAAATGCAAACAATTTCAACGTCCCTGCTTGAGCTGTGTGCAGAGAGCTTTTGCCAGAAGCTGATCTGAAGGATCTAATTCAGCTGCTTGCTGTTTTTGCTTGACTCTGACCACTCGTGGTTCAAGGCTTTAACTCTTTGTTTGTTTTGAGTTGGCTGTGAAACTAATTCACACACATGCCTCTAAAGCTCCAAAGTGGAGATTTCTTAACTGCACAATTAAGGACTTTGCGGGATGAGGCAGCATTTTAAGCTCTTGTTTAGGACTTAGCCAGCTTATGTTCTACTAATCTTTTTTTTTTTTTTGGCACTGGAAGGCCTGCTTTGGTCAAAACTAAATTTCATCCCAATCCCTACTAAATCATATTCTAGATATGATATTAGCAATGATATTCATAAAGGCTATTTTAAGTTACTGAACCACACTCAGTTGAGTTGCATGGAGATTATCTTGATTGTTTGTTTACTGCATGTGCAAAACACCAAAACTCCAAAGAAGATGCACTTGCCCTATATATGAAAATGCCAAGGCTATACTGTCTATATAACAGCTTGAATAGAGGAATTCCAGAGCATAATTTGACCTGTTTCAATAATTACCAAGAACAAAATAATAATGCTGATTCAGCCAGTGGATTACAAAATCTTAAGTATTTATGATCTTGGACAAATACGAAAGGGTGAATTTGCTTTGTTTGAGTTACAGCACTTAACAGAATAATCAAAGTCTGTTTTATATGGATAGGATTAGAAGTGATTTGAAGAATTTGATTAATCCATGCAAAAAATTTAAAAAACGTTTATAATCAGTTCCAACACAAACACACATAATGCAGCATTTGTTGAAAACTTTTGTTGAACGTTAGAGGAGATTAATAGTTTAAAAATTAGGCTATATAGGCACTGACAATATAAATGGAGGGTGGTTTGAAAGTATGCAGCAATTTTGTAGCTGCTTAGAATAGACCATTATTAAGGTTAACAAGTTTCATGACTAGGGTAAACAATTCTGCTCAAAAATACATGTAAAATACCACTAGTTTGTCTGACATAATTTTTATTTCCTAATTTATATATAAATAACCCTTGACTGTGACATAGTCAGCTTTTGATGTTTCTGGTAAATTTATTTTCTTTTTCTTTTTTTCAACTTTTGTTTCTTATATGTATAAAGTATTCTATATATCAGCATGTGGGGGAAAAACATCTTGACAGCATCTTTATGCACTGCACGTGAGCACTTGAATTTTGGTTATTTATTATTATTATTATTATTTTCTAAATCTGTGTTTTTAATGACATAAATAGGCCCTGTGGAAGCCAAGAACATGTTCACCAAATAAGAAAAAAAAATGCAGTTATAATTATGAGATATAAAGTTGAATTTCTGACATTAAAAGTCACAATTGACATTAAAAAGTATTACTTAAAAAGTCACGAAGTGTGATGTAATTGTGAATTGGTAAAAGACAGCATTGGTTTCCCAGCAAGTTGCATAATGATGACAGAAGTATTACACAGAAATAAATGATCACAAAAGTAAAAGATTAAAATTTAACACATTTTTTTAATGTGATTTGTTTTGTGATTTTTATCTTAATTGTAACTTTTTTTTGGAACAATAAAAAATAACATTAGTAAATGTGTGATGTGAAAGTGTTATGTTTTCTAAGCAAAAGTGGGAAACAAAGCGTTTCATTAAAATATGATATTTATGTGTTATAGTGGAAAATGATCTCCTGTTTTCACTGATCCAGAGAATTCTTCTTTGTACAGTTCTCCAGTTCAGTGACTTCTGATGGAGTTTGGTAGTTGAAAAGTTTTAAGGAAGTGCTGTGAAATGTAGCTTGGTAATTGTGTTCACTGCTGTGCCAATGGAGGGCTCAGACCAGCCAGAGCGAGAGATTGTTGCCTGACTGAAAGGCCACTGAGAGTGCAGTTGTGGTTACACGGAATGAGTAGGCGCTTGTGTTCCCAGAGATCATGTTTTTGGACACCTGGGTCAAATTTGGACTTAGGTCTAAACTTGGATTTAAACTTTCAGATACACATCTACAATAAACAACATCCAAAGAATACACACCACAACAGTTTTCAGCCTGTTGATTTATTTTTGCAGATATAATGTTGGCTGTGCACTTGCCAGTTTGACCTGAGTAGTTGTATTATTTTGTTGTTTTTATTTTACCATAGTAAACTGTCATTTTGTCTTATATTGTCAAACATAAATAATTAGATGATAGTACTGTTTGGGAACTGACTGACTTACAAAATGTCCATTTCTCCGTTTTTTTGTCAACTCCCTTCCTTTATTCGTCTCTGTATGTTCTGGGATGTGAGAACAGGAGGTTGATGGGAGATTGGGGATCTGTCATTCAGGGCTGATGGTGTGACTAAATCAGGAGCCAAAGGGGGGCAGCAGTGGGAGAATTGCCTGTTGAATATAGGCCGATAATGTGAGACCCTGAACACCCTTGCATGTTCTTCTAGTCAATAGGATTTCTCCTTTATTCAGAATTCGTGCTGGAGCTTTTGTGGCCAGTCTTTTTTGGGTTCCCCTGCTGTTCTTCACGGCGAGGATGTGGACCATGGCTTGATCCCACCTCCCTCATAGAGTGAGGGAGTCAGACGGAAAGATTGTGATTGGGGGACTGTTGCTGTTGTTTTTTATTTGTTTGCTGGTGTTGTTTGTGCATTTGCTCATGAGAGAGACCAGAGGGTTAAAGGGGTTTTTTTGGGTCACAGCCCAGCTCCAATCCGCAGGAAGGATGGTGGTTTGCTCGGTGGGAGATTTCTTCCCTTCCACCTCATGCAGTGACTGTCCGGTTGCATTAATGTTGACTGTTAATTTTCAAGTGAGGCCAAAATCGTATAACCAATCAAAACATGGCTTATTTTAATTTTATATGTCAAACTACTCATACATTCTCTTAACTGTTCATACCTTCGCTCTCTTCTCATTTGAGACCACTTTAAAGTCCCCATGAAATCAAAATTAAAGTTTTTTGGGTGTTAGTATCAATATGTTAGTTTTAAGGTTATCTATAAGGCAGTGTGCTCCAAAACAGTGACAAAATTCGCATTTAGAAGATATAAACATTCAAAGCTTGCAGTTCGTCACTTCCGCCAAAACGGCTCAACGATTTTTTTGACGTCACATCGTACTTCA